AATTATAACTAATCTTCCTTTGAGATATGGAAGTCTGCTTTAAATTAATGACCGAATTATAACTAATCTTCCTTTGAGATATGGAAGTCTGCTTTAAATTAATGACCGAATTATAACTAATCTTCCTTTGAGATATGGAAGTCTGCTTTAAATTAATGACCGAATTATAACTAATCTTCCTTTGAGATATGGAAGTCTGCTTTAAATTAATGACCGAATTATAACTAATCTCCCTTTGAGATATGGAAGTCTGCTTTAAATTAATGACCGAATTATAACTAATCTCCCTTTGAGATATGGAAGTCTGCTTTAAATTAAAGTCATTAGTCTTGTACTTTAACTGCTTTGCACTACAAGGTTGAGTATATTATATTAAAATTATTTGGAATATGCTAATCAGAAAGTCATGTGACAACCCCAGCCAATATAAAGTTGTAGTGGAATGGTACGATTTATTAGAAATATATTTTATCACTGTTAGGTATTTTGTAGGTATAATGTGATACAACTGAAGATTGACTGCTTTTGGAAGGGGATGTAAAAAAAGTCTTATTGAACACAATATTTATAACACTAGATCACAAACTAGATATGTTCAAATCAGGGACTTCAAGTTTTCAAAATTTATTATATCCTTTGTATATGACAGCATTGGAAAACAAAGAAATGTGGATCAACTTGAGGCACCAGAGCCATACTGAAATAGACCTGCAATAACAGTACCCAAGTGGTAGTAAGGTTGGGCATCTTGTATACAATGAATGCAATAGTCAGTGGCATCCACATATACCAGCTAGAGAACAATACACAACATAATCATGAAAGACCTCCATCTGAAAGCGAGGCCAACACAGTACGAGTCCACCAACTAATAGCTTCTAGTTATATCTCCCATTCAACCACTGCATACTTCAAACAGATGGAAAATGAAACGGGTATTCATGCTATTCCATACAAAGACACACCTGTCAAGCCACCAGAAACAACATTGCAGGGCTATTGTAAAAACACAGTATTTAGACAGAGTATGAACATAAATTGCATCACGGACTGTAACAATGTGATAAGGGTTTAATATTTATATATAAAATACTCTATAAACCCTATGTCTAGTAAAACCTTGCCACGTATACATCAAGTGTTTATCTGGACTGTAACAATGTGATAAGGGTTTAATATTTATATATAAAATACTCTATAAACCCTATGTCTAGTAAAACCTTGCCACGTATACATCAAGTGTTTATCTGGACTGTAACAATGTGATAAGGGTTTAATATTTATATATAAAATACTCTATAAACCCTATGTCTAGTAAAACCTTACCACATATACATCAAGTGTTTATCTGGACTGTAACAATGTGATAAGGGTTTAATATTT